AAAAACAAAGATGGAGAAAACATTCCTTCAAGCAATTAATCAGGTTTATCTGGGGGGCTGTGACATTCTTCCAAAGCTCTTATGGATAAATTGCAGGGAACAGCTCCAGCATTTGCAGCTGCTTGGAATGTTTGGGAAAGAGTTCTGTAGTTCTTATCATGTATTTCACATGAACCAGTAAGTGCTCGCTTGCTGGCTCTCATTCATCCTTCGAGGAGCTAACAGTTACCAGTTAGACGGTAATATCTTCTGTGGGTCCACTCCTCTCTGGGTCCGCCTGTACTCTGTGTTTTCTACCCATTGTATCATCATCGTGTCCATGCTTGTGAATGAGTGTTTCTTTAAGTTTCTGTCTACTTTTCCACAGCATGAAAATTGGGTTGGGCCACATCTCATGCATTGTGAACTGCCACGGACTCGCTGTTCTGTTTGATAGGCTCCAGCCCGAGTACAAACTGCTGGACTATCACAGCTCTGATTCAACATGGCTGAATCCCCAAAACAGCACCTCATCTTCCCAATGATCACTTCCTCCTTGTCCTCCCTGGTTCTGGACACAACTTTCTTTTACCTTTCTAGAGCACACAAGGGAGCCCTCATCAGTTTCTTAGGTGCCACTGATCCTGCCCCCCAAACTCCGCTCCTAGTGAAAGTCTATAAACTCTCATCCTCCCTGGCTCAGGTCAGAGGCTCCCACATCTCCCCCAGATCTTCTCTGTGTCCTCCTCAGTGGCCAGAAAGTCCTCTTCCCTTTCTTTTACTTCTGCTTCTCTTTGCCGCACTAAAAAACACACTGGCAAGATAGCTCAGTGGACTAAGCGCCTGCTTAGGCAAGCACAGGGAGTGGGGTTCGATCCTGGACACCACAGGCCCCACCCCTGGGTGCGCTAAGCCAGCAATGGAGAACAGGCATGGTGGTGCATGCCTGTGATTTCAGTGCTAGGGAGGCTGAAAACAGGAGGATCACTATGAGTCTGAGCTGTGTAGTGAGACCCTGCACCAAATACATAAAACAAAACAAACAAAAAACAAAACAAGAACAATTAGCTTTGCTGTAACCTAATGGTGGTTATTGAGTTGAAAGGATGGTCTGCCTACTTCAACAAAGGCTGCAGGGATCACTTCCATAAACAAATCGTGAGACTTGGAACACTGAAGTAAACACTCTTCTAATTTTCTGAGTTTGGGCAGATTCAAAACTGTTACTAGAACAAGCCACTAGTGGCATAAATTAATCAATGGAAAATAAGCCAAATAACAGAAGACAGGACAACATGATGTGCTGAATGGCAATTTCAGATCAAATGAAGTGATTTATGCTGTTTGCACTTGCTAGGAAAGGGAAGAGTATTTTAGAATTATGAAACGTAACATTTGAATCATTTTTCCTTTCATTACCCTAATGTAAAGTAGATAAGATAGATAATTGCCCCATGCTGTATTTGGCTGATTAGTTTTGTTTTATGATTTGAACTCAGTCTAGCATCATTTCCCATTCCACCATCTATGTTCCCTTTGTTCCAAGTGACACGAAAGTTTCTGATCATTTTATGGGCTGTGAAATTGCTCTTTCCTCTGCCTGGAATGTTTCCCGTCCTCATTTTGCTAACTTCCCTTCATGTGAACACCGTCCCCTCCGACTGGCATTCCCACAATCCCCCTCCCACAGTTCCCCCCCACCCTTCCTCCGGAATTCCACACATCCCTTAACTTCTCTTGACACGTGGAATTGTGTTTCTCTGTTGACTGAGGGCTGCATTAACTTGTGACTCTGGAAGATACTGGTCTTTCTTCTGTGGTTTTATTTCTGTTTTCAGTACTTCGACTTCAGTTTTAGAGCCCTTGGCACAGACTCCGTGACCAACTGTGACTGAAACACTGTGGATGTGTCCATGTAGGCCATTTGTCTGAGTCCTCTGTTCACTTCTCCGCCTCCTGCATTCCCACCATAAGCACATGGCACACATTCTTTCTGTCTGCTCTGTATCTGTTTTCCTTTCTCTCTCTCTCTCTCTCTCTCTCTGTCTCTCTCTCTCTCTCTCTCTCTCTCTCTCTCTCTCTCTCTCTCCTTCCTCCCCCCCGCTTTGCTTTGGGTAGACTGCTAAGAACCTTATCCATTTTTGACACTGCAGTTGCTCAAGGCATTAATCTGGCAGAAGTAACCATGAGGAGGCTTCACATCTGTGCTGAGTGCTGTCATGTTTTCCTTGCCACTGTCTGCTACACAGAATATACTGGAAGTTGTACGTATTTTTTTTCCAACCCTGGGATTGAACGCAGGGATAGGTCCACATTCGGCAAGTGCTCTACCACCGAGCTATAAGTCCAGCCTAGAGTTACATTTCTTTGTTCTAGGGAAATTCCAAGGTGAGTGTCATCAGCACAATGAGAGGGCTTCCACTCTAAGCAAGTATGTGGAAACATGCAAAAAAGGCAAAGCATCTGGTCCGGGAGGGGCAATAGCAGTCGGGCATCCGGCCTGAGCTGGGAGGAGCGCCGCTGCCCACTGCAAACCCTGGTCCAGGTGGGGCACAGAGGGACCGGCACCTGGATTCTCTCCTGCTGTCCCCCACCCTCTGTGCTCAATGCTGGCTTCCCTTGGATAGGATGTAGGAGGCAGGCATGGATTACCAGGGCTCAGCCTTTTCCAACTGTGATTTCTTTCTGATTTGAAGTTTCTGTCAAGCTGGTTGATTTATGTTCCTCTCCTGTATCTGTTTTATATATGTCACTGCTTGTCATCAACATGTTCAGAAAGGCCCTCCAGACCTTTGTCCCCAAACCCCCAGCCATGGAAGGCAATGCTGCAACTATGAGAACCCGAGAGCCAAGCTGAGCTCCAGAACAGACAAAAGCACAGGTTCTATCTGAGTCTTCTTCAAAGCAGGCTGCTGCTTCTTAACAACACACCGGATGGTGGAAGAAAAATAAGAAAAGTCCTTACGTGTTTACTTAATAGGTGGCTGGCCTCTGTGCTTTCACTTAGCCATCTGTTCTGGCCTGTGTTCCTTTAAACGTGTAAGATCCATCACTTTGTTTAAGCTGTTACCTTGACACATTGCAATGTTGTGGACATAATGATTCCACAGAGGAGCAAATTAAAATGGTTTTTCATGATTAGAAGGTTAAATGAGAAAAGGTTGTGGTAGTTAGTGATTGAGATAAGGGGTTTGAAAGCGGCAGAGCTCGGGGGACTTTTGGGTGATTAGAAAATTAGGCTGGCTAGATGGAGGAATGCGGATTTCACAAATTACATGAGCTGAGCGAGAATGAAGACTTTCTCCAGGTGTCAGTGACTTGAATTCTGGTCCTAGTGCCTGGAAAGGGGTGGTTGATATCAGTCTAGGAAAGATCCAGGAGCTGTCTTGGAGTTCTTTACCTTCTTTGGGAGATCGAGTGCGAAGGAAAATGAAGCAAATCCCAGCAGGAAGTGATGAACCTGAAACACAACGGCAACCACAACCCCACAACCAGTCAGTGCTTTTCAGAGAGATGTCTGGCTTTCCTTCAGGGGGAGGAGGACCAGGCATGAAGGAGTACTTCACTGGTTCTTCTGCTCAGTGCTGCATGTTTTGGACCTTCCACTTGTCTCCAGGATTCTCCACTAGGATGAACTGCTAGTCTTTGACAACCGGCAGCCTAGAAAGCCAAGCGCTTTATCTTCTTTGTGCTGCTGATGAAATCCTGCTTGCACCACTCTGGTTTCTCCTGTGAAGGCCAGGATGGTTGTAGTCACCTACCTTTAAAACCTCAGTCACCCCTGAATTTTGTCATCAGCCACCTAGGTCCCAGGTCTATGCCTTTATCTACTTTATCTCTCCAGTATTTATTTATTTATTTATTTATTTATTTATTCTGCCCTGGTTTCCATCCTCATTACTTCTGTCCTAAGCAATTGGATTAGTCTTCTAACTAGTTCCTCCTTACCTTTCTTCTCTCCCTGCTACAAGGTATCTTTAACACTGCTGTTTGATTATAGTTTAGGATTACCACCTGTAGCAGAACAAAACAACCCAAACAATTGTTTTGACTTTCCATCACCTAGGAAACTCCATGGCGACTTCTTCGCGTAGTATCTGAGGCAGGGCATCCTTTACGCTTCCAGCTTCCCCCCATTTGTTTCATTGTTCTATCTAGAAAGTTCCTTCTGCTCACACATTCCTACTGTTGCAAACTCCTGCACGTGATCAGGTTCAGTTTCAAATACATCTCTACCTGCTCCTACCCCAATCAGATGAGGTTGCTCCTGCTTTTGCTTCATAGTGACACATTTAGGAAATGTTCTTACACTGTTTGGCATAAAATTTTTCCTTTCTCGTTGCTAGCTTTTTGAATCTTACTCTTGCCCATCCTTCAGCACAAGTAGTTTCCTGTCCATAGAGAGTGCTAGACACCAAAATAGAAGCATGAGTGACAGTGTGTCTTCAGGAGTGTGAAAAATGCACTCATTCATGTGCTCCACTCCAGTGTCTGTTGAGGGCTTGTGTTATGGTAGGTACTGTAGTAAGGACCTTGGGAAACAGACAGTAATATGATGCAGAACCTCCTAGTGTTCAGGATCTCACAGATACATGAGGAAAAACCACATAAATAATCACATGGAGAAAAAGTACAACAGACAGGACTTCCCAGTGGAGAGTAGCAGTGGTAGGTCCTCTTCACTCCATTCTGGTGGCAAGGTGGTGCGGAGGAGAGTGATCAATGTGGAGAGGCTTTCTACAGTTGGGAATGTCTTGCTTGGGTTTTCCAAACTAAAGGCAAATAGGCAGGTAATAAAGGGAGAGACCAAGTGGAGTAGCCCACGAACACTGCCTTGCTTGTTCTCAGATGCCCAGCGCACATGCCAGCCTGGTCGCCTAGTTGTTATTTTCTGTCCCCAGGTGAAATATCCTACATGACAAATCCTTCCCTCCTGGTAAAGAAAGAGAGAGGAATAAAGGAACCTCCCTTCATGACCACTTTTAGTTGAAAGTCTTTTTTTTTTTTTTTAATGTTTGTAGAGAAAATCTGTGATTGCGGTGAGCTTCATAGCAGCGTTCCTCTTCCTGCTGGTTGTGCGCCTGGTAAATGAAGTGAATTTCCCATTGCTACTAAACTGCTTTGGACAACCTGGAGCCAAGTGGATACCATTCTCCTATACGTACAGGCGGCCCCTTCGGACTCACTATGGATACATCAATGTGAGGACACAAGAGGTAAGACCTCAAAGGGTTACCTAGGATTCAGAGGGTATCCATGGTAACGGTTTTGCTTTAGGAAGAAGATGGCCTCCAACTTACTGGATTATTGTCTTTCCCCAGAGCTTCTTTAGGTCTCTGATAGCATCTTCTGTTTTCTCATCTTGCAGACACAGGTCTAAAATCTGCCTCCCCCGCAACAAACCTTCCAGTTCACTGGCTCCATGTGGAGTCGACGAAGCAATGACCTGTTTTCCTGGTGGTTTGTGGCATAACACACATATCTTTTCATTTAAAAATTCTGATCAGTACTGACCAGCTGGGCACTGGCTGGCTTTATTTCCTGTAGGTTGACTGGTTGGGGCCAGCTCTTTATAGAACTTCAGAAAAGCATTTGTACTCTTTAAAACTCTGTAATCCTTAGACCTGGAGCTAGAAAAGGCCAAGCTGATTTTCAAATTCGCAGTGGCTGCAGAGATAATGGGATTTAAAGAGTTTCCAAATTTAAAAGGGTTAAAATCATTTAAATCCTATAATCACTGAACCTTTAAATCTTTGTAGCCAATTGGTGGCTCAGGAGAGGATGGCAGTGTATTGACAACTAAAACGTACATGCTGTGCTAGTACTTTTGCTAGCAAGCAATTGTCTCATGAAGTACAGTAAAAAATAATGACCCTCCCAATATGTGTGAAGTGTACAGAACTAGGAAATAAAATCATTTTGACTATCTGTGTCTATGGTCTAGGATAAATGTGTGGCTTATATCCACAGACATAAAGTTAAAGTTGTTGGTGAGAAAGGTACATATCATCACACCATTGAGAATATTTCAGTGGAAGGCCATTTTATAAAGATGCTAGAGAGGAAAGGCTGGGGACATAGTTGGATGGTAGAACACTTGCCTAGCATGCACAAGACCTTGGATTTCATTGCCAGAACTTCAGAGGAAGAATACTGGAGAGGGTGAGGAGGAGGAAGGGGAAGAAGAGGAAGAGGAGGAGGAGATGGAGGAGGTAGAGGAAGCAAAAGGAGGAGTAGGGGGAAGAAAAAGGAGGAGGAGGGGGAAGAAAGAGGAGGGGATGGAGGAGGGGGGAATGGCAGAGGGGAAGAGAGGGAGGAGGAAGAGGAAAAGGAGTCATACACAGAATGCTACTCTTGTCCTGAGAGTTATTCTTAGTATTCTGGGCAGTGTCATTCCTATGTCTTTGCTTCTGGTTAATTTTATTATTTGAAAATTATTCCAGTATCTGCAGGATTTATAGACTTTTTACTAGACTTTTAGAGTTGGGAAGGAAAGCACTATTAATATATAAATTGCTAGGAGGTTTGCTTAATGTTTATCCTTTAATTGAGTTTAAGTTAGTTTTCAAAGTGTCTATTGTTTGAATTTGTTGCATGTAGTAATAAATTGATTACCTATAAAAAGATGTGTCTCTTAGAGAACAATTCGTATTACTGTCATCTTTTATTACTTTTATTTCTGGCTGTCATTTAATATTCTATAGCTCTACAGTACAGTGTTAATCTTTTCACACATGCTTGTCACATAGTTGGATGGTAGAACACTTGCGTAGTGTGCACGCAACCCTGCATTCATTCCCAAACTACAGAGGAAAAATACTGGAGAGGAGAAGGAAGAGGAGGAGGAGGGAGAGGAGGAGGAAGAAGAGAAGGAGGAGGAGAAGGAGGAGGAAGAGGAGGAGGAGAAAATGAACATGCAACCAAGTGTCCTACAAATGACTCCCAGAAAGGAAATCCTTCCAAATTTCAAAGACTTTTCTTTGTTTAAATATTTGTGACCTGGATTTTGGAGTGTAAGGGAAAATGTGGCCTGGGGATGCCATGAGCTACCTAGTCATGTTCACCAGGCTACCACTGAACCTCATTTGATACAGCTTTCAGTAGCAATGATCACCAAAGAACTAAGAACATTATCTTGTCTCTGCATATACTATTTTTTGGGAGGAAACTATTCCTGGAAAGATTTCAGGGTTTAGAGATGCACAAATGTAATTACAGTTCTGTTGCTTCATTTTACTTAAAGCAGAGTATTTACTTTGGGGTAAATATTATAACCTCCATCTCCATTTCCTTATTTTCAAAGTACAGATAACAGCATCAGACCTAGTAGTCATTAGCAGGCTTAAACAGGACCAAATGCATGAAGTATATAGCCTTAAATTGATTTTCTTTTCTTTTTAAAAATGTATTTAGTATAGGGTCTACAGATCCAACTCATAGTGACCCTCCTGCTTGCAGCCTCCCAAGCTCTGGGGTTACAGGTGCGCACCACCACGCTCATCTCAATCACCATCTCAGCATGCCCCAGGGGCAGAGCTGGCACAGCAAGCCTGGGATGGAGCCCTGGTTCCTGCGCCCTCCTAAGCGGGTACTTTAGTCTGCTGAGCTATCTGGCTGGCCTTTTAAATTGATTTTCAATGAATAAATTATTTTGTTGCCCCAATACTTAACAGTATGACATTAAACATTCAATAAAAACCAGAACACCAAAGACCAAGTAATAAAATTTATATTTAAATTTTCAATAGCCTGGACTCAGGTCAATAAACACAGAGTTTCTCAAACCCACCAGTAACCAGGGGTTTATAAATTAAACCTTAGGGGCCGGGGAGATGGCTCAGTAGAATAAGTACTTGCCTGCCAAGTGCAAGGGCCTGACTTCAATTCCTAGTTCTGGAAAAAAAAATAAAAAAAGTATGTTCTTTAGGCTGAGGAGATATCTCAGTAGAATAAGCTATGGCCTGGCAAGTACAAGGCCCTGAGTTCAGTTTCTGGTACTGCAAAAATAAATAAATAAAACCTTAAAGAGGAAAAATATGAAGCACAAAGAGGTATCATTATGCTGTTGCAGAATGACAAAAACTAAGAAGTCTGGCAATACCAAGTGTTGGTGAGAATGGAATGATAGGAATTCTCATTTACTAGTAGTGGGAGTTTAAACTGGAACAACTACTTTGACAAGACCAGAGTTTTCCACGTTACTGAACTTGAGAGTAGATGATGTGCACATGCGACTCGGCAGCCTTTCTAGTCCTGGCATTGCTCCACGTTCGTGATGCGCAGGACCTCATGCACGGGGGCACGTAGACAACAGGGGTGGCACCACTGCTGATGAAAAGCACATCCTGGAATACACTCAGTGTTATGGTTCCGAGCTGCAGGGTCCCACATGGCTGTCCTGTGTGTGCGAGGTGATTGGGTCATGCGGAGCCATACACACGGGCAGCCTCACCCTGTGATGACTCGTCACTGAATGCGCCGTTGGACATGGGGCCTCAGTGGAGGGAGTCACTGCAGATGCGACCTGGAAGGCACACTTCTGTCCCTGGTCCTCCTTTCTCATCTGCTTCCTGCCTGCTGCGGGTCAAGCAGCTTTCCTCCCCCCGGCCCTTTCAGCACGCTCCTTCTGCCTTGGGCCCAGCTGACTGTGGACTGAATCTTCTGAACACAGAGAGCCAATGTGAGCCTCTTCTCCTCTTAGATGTGTTGGTGGTGGGTATTTTATCCCAGTGATGGAAAAGTGTCTCATCAAGATATCTGTTAGGAGGAGAATGGATTGAAACTGCATTGTCTGTGTGCCCTAGAACACCAGGCAGTGGAGACAAGCTATGGTGCTGTGTGACAGCCTGGATGGTGAAATTAGGCATGCAGCATAATTGTACTTATAACTCATAGCAAGAGGAAAATACTAAATGATGTTTGCTAGGAATTTAGAAACATAGATATCTCTGTCTGTCTGCCTGCCTGCCTGCATTCCTGCTTGTCTTTACCTAACTTTAAAAAAGCCAAGAGATCACAAATCTTAGGCAATAGAAAAACCAAGAGAACCACCATAGAAGTGGGAGTAGCGATTTCCTCTGAAAACAATGTGAGCTTTGTGACCCACCTGGCTTTCTGTAGGGTCAGCAGTGCGCAGTCTCTTGATCTTGTTGAGCATCCAGAGGTCTTTACATTCTAACTATTTATTAGTATAAGTGTATTTTTTCTGCACTTTTTGTGTGTGAATATCACAATGAAAGAAAGCAAATATATTGAGTCCAGGAAGGATGCTTATTAACCACTTACTGGAGGCCGGTTATTATACAAAGTATTTCATCTTATTTAATAGCAAGAAGTAGGTGAAAAAAAATAGGTTATTAACCTATCCCAAACAATCAAAAGTACTGAAATAGGCTGTTTCGTTTCATATGAGGTATCACATATAAAGGGCACTTATTCCTCTAGTCCTGGTCTCTGCAGGCTAGAATGGGAAGCTCCCACGTTAGAACTTTAATACAAATGACAAGTAGAAAATTTTGCATAGACGTTAAAAAACAATATGAATGCTGGAGAGAATGACATATTCCCTCCTGCACCTGAACAACCCTTGGCTAATCGGAAAGAAAGCAAAAGTTGGTGACTTCCTCCTCCCCTCATTGGTTTGGCAGCCTTGCCTCCCTACTTGTCGCCACGTCTGTGCTCTGTTCTCACCAGGGACTATGTGTTGGTCCTCTCCAAAAGTGGCCACAGTTGCAGTACTTCCCAGAAAAGTTCTCATTAGATAACAGACTCAGGATGGGAAACCTTTAAGAGCTGGAGTAATATAACAGAAATGGTAGGTGATGGATTGTTGTGGGACAAATGGCTTCAGTAGTGACCTTCCACATGTGCTGGATGGGTAAGACAGGGGATAATCTCTTTCCTGCCCATCACAAATGCCTGTGGCCAACATCCTATGGCATTTTATGCCTAATTTAGATGAAGCACAGATCGCCATATAGCGATAGGATTGCACTGAAAGGGCATGATCTCATTGTAGCAAATCAAGGGCGGGAAAATCAGTTAGTCTGCTCTTCAGATTTTTCTTGGCACCTGAGGTGTAGTATTTCTTCCTCCCAAGTGTGGGGCAGGAACTTTTCTGAAAGGAGGGGCAGGGCTCATGACCCATGATTAAATGGGGAAGTCAGAGAATATCTTCATGGCCAAATCTTACATGAATAGGTGGGGAAAACTGAAG